TTTCCCTTTTCTTCCAAACGTCTTCAACCTTCATACAAGTCATTAGCAGTGGAACACCAACCCAAACCAAATTCAATATAAAAATACAAACCGATACAGTTTTTTATAAACCGAACCGAACCTATACCCGATCCGGAAATTCTTAGCAGCCATTGGCAGAACAAACTAAAGCTAACACCGAGACGAAATTCTCCAACAAAACCCGTTGAGAAAGCTAAGAATCTGATCCAAGAACACTAAATTCTTCTCTCAAGTGACAAAATTCTCCAACAAAACATATCTTCCCATCTCTAATACATCTTACATACAAAACAACACAAAAAAACCCCCAAAATAAGCCAAAACCCAATTCACCAGAGAAATCAAATCACCAAACCAATCAAAGAACCCATTTTACCCTCTGGGTCTTGCCGTCCTGCTCCGAATCTGTTGCTCGGAAAAGTCAGTGGCAGAATGATCATGCCGCAGGATGATCCCTAGAAGCATTGTTGTATCAGCATTCAGCAGAATGATCATCGTGCTACGTTACTGTACCTAATCATCCTGCAGATACGGGCAATGATTCTGTCGCTACAGCAACTCTATACATTGATGTATAGTGCATATGGAAAAACCGAGAAAACCGTCAGCCATATTGTCACGTACCTTATTAATTTTGTCACCAAACTCAGAAATCTGCATCCAACGATGGTTACATTGGAAGAAAAGAGAAGCAAGAGACAAAAAAACGAGAGAATAAATCAATGCTATAGATATTATGGACAATACATATCCATAACTAAGGTTATTTTGGATCAATCACTGTCAAAATATATAGTTTGCAAAGTCGCAAAAAACGGCTTTTTTTCTTCGGGTAAGTTCCAACAAATTTCATCTTGTAAATAAGCTAGCCTTGTGGATAAGGAGCACTCTGAGCATCCAAGTGGAGATGCCAGTTTAGTATCCTTGAGCAATCGGGTGGGACGCCTTCCATCTGGCTTTCGTCTTCCACCACCTGCTCTATAAATGTCGTCTCCTGCTCGAAAACACAATGTCAAGACACTGAAAAAACACTTTGTGTTTAAGAATATAGAACAGAGAAACTCGAATGCATACTCGAAATCCCTCCTCCATCGTGTCTAACAGACGGATTGGGCTTGGAAAAGGGCATCTCCATCTTTTCGGGTCCCAGAGTATAGTGCTGTTAAATGCGAATCCCGACATATCGGTGTGAAACCTCTGAATTCGTTTACTCTTCTCGTTCGTGTGCCATCCAATTACTTGACTTCCATTGCATACTGGACCCTCGAGGATGGCCTTGTTTTTGCTCGGTGAGAGCATAGCAACAGGCCAAGTACCAAATCGGCTACAAAGCATAACAGGCGATAGATTTATAAGCTGGTCTAGTACACTATACGATGATAACATATGAATCTTGAGCCGTCACTCATGTCAAAAGGAATGAAATCTTGAAAGGCCAAAATCAGAGGGGAAAAAAATAGATCAACAAAACACGTAGAACAGAAAACAGCAAATGAGAGGGAAGAAGATGGGAAATGGACTGACAAACAAACCGAGATTTTGCGGGCAAACTTCAAAGTTCACTAGTTTCAGCATCATGAATCAAGAGTCAAGACCAGCCAATTCATTCACAAAATGACCACAGTGTTTGTTTACAGCCTTATAATGACAAAATGTTGTCCTATGAGCAACCATTAATGGTCTCTGTGTCCGAAACACAGCATGAACAACACTAGAAGAACCAGAACAGAGGCATATACACCCCTAAACAAGTACTGGCTAGAAAACATCAAAGGCAGAGAATTTCAATTGAAAAGAGGATGCTTCCCCCATACAGAAGATTCAAAACTAAATTAACCTACAATAATTTCGATTTGATATGATTAGATACCTGATTTGTCTCAAGTTTTCGAACAGCTCAAGCGAGTATACGTTATCATCGTCAGCGAAGTAGACAATTCCATCCAGTTTGTGCAACTCGATATGCTCCAAGGCCATGTTCCTCTGGTGAACCCCTCTGTCTGTAATATTCGCCTTGGTCTTCTTGCAAACCAAGTGTCTGAACATAACCCCCGTCTTCCTCAGTATCTCCGCGGTTTCGAACGACGCCGCGTTTGTCTCCACGACTATCCACAGCACCGGTGGCTGGACCAGTCTCAGTGTTTGGGCCATCCTGTTCATGTAATAAGCCTGCATCGCTCGATTGTTTGTCGGAGTCACCACGATTATTTGCTTCCTCGGCACAAAATCGAAATTACCCGAGATCTTCCCACTCACTTCGGTCTCAACACCGAATCTCACCGCGTCGGCGGCCAAATCTTCTCGTCTTCCCTTCCCACCATCCGTACGGGCCTCAATGTACGGTGGCTTGATCTGGTCGGTGACACGAACGTCGCTCACTTCGCCGAACGGCGTCATACCCAACAGAAACCCCAGAAGGAAGAACACGACGCAGCGGTAAAACGGTCGCCGCCATGCGCTCCGTCGCGAGCTGTTGGGGACGAAAACCGCTTCGATAAATCTGGTGAGGAAAAAAAATAAATGCGAAGAACTGTGTTTGCTACTGTTACTACTATTGTTACCACCGCCATTGGTGAAGCTCTTTTGAGAGGGCGAGGAGACGGACAGAGGCGAGAACGGAGCAGCACCGTTCTGAGATGGACGATCGCGATACGCCGGAGAGAGAGTTCGCCGGATCGAAGCCATTCGATCCGATCGGTTCGTCGTTTTCTCTCGCCTCACATGACCAAATCGAACATCCACAGAACCAAACAACGGCGAAATTCAGAGATCAATAAGCAGTGACCATATCGATTCAGCAAGAACTTGCAAGAAATGCGACAATCAAAATTCTTCTTCGAGCTCAAATGGAGAAAACTTCGAGATCTAAGGTCAAGTTTAAGCTGCAGCGAGAGATGGGTGGGCGCCTCCGATATATAGTGTGCGTGTACATGTATTGTTTAATAAATTATAATATAATAATAAATGTTATTCCTCAAATTTTTTATTACTTTTTAAAATTTGAATCCTTGTTAGCTAATAATCAGACTAAAATTGTTGATATAAATCATTTGTGATGTTTTTTCCTCATTTGATGTCGGTATCGTTTTTACGTCAATTTAGATATTAAATCTAACTAATGCTATTTGAATATCCATATATAGAAATAGCAATCTACTAATGGTTGAAAAATTCCATTCATGCATTCCCCTATATCGATATTTTTTATATTTTAAACTATCAATACTCTAATTATTTTACTTTCGTATTGAATAAATCATTAGAAATAAATAGTAAACTTATTTGACTAAATTTTAAAAATACGTTATCTATTGGGAGAATAAAAAAAATAGAGTTCGATTTACCTCTTATTTTTATTACATACATATATATATATGTATGTATATGTAAAACCGTTAAGTTCGGTCTGAACATTGAGAAAACAAATACTTCATCGAGTTTCAATCTGACCCTTCAGACCCGATTTTTTTTTTTTTTTTTTTTTTTGAGGTCAGAAATGGCCTAACTTCTCGACGAGTCTCTTCTCGATCTCCATCCTCTTCTTCATGAACAAACTGTACATAGAAACCATGTCCTGATCTCCGGCTTTCGCCCTAAGCCTACAGCTCAGAGCCGTCTTCTCCAACTTCCCCTCGTACAGACACGAAATCGGCATGAACCTTCCTGTCTTGTCGCACATCCATCCATAAGCAGCTCTCACTGCAGCTCCCAGCGATGCCGAATCTGCCCAATGAACAGACGGATTCAACCTGAATCGAAATGCGTAAAATTTTGCAACAAAAATGAGCGGGTTCGATCTTTTTTAGAAAGGTACCAGGCCTTTGGACAGTATATACGTCGCATCCGAAGATTGCAGAGATCAGACCGAGGATGTTTTCGTTGGCTGACGCTCCTCCGGGGCTATGATTCTGATCGGAGGGGCCGGCATTCCGAATCTCTCTGCGTGAGCCCTCTTCGAGAGGAACTGTCCTTCGATCAATGCCCGAACCTGAGAGGAACGATGTCAGGACGATGAAATGAAATGTCAGTACGTTGCTTTATGAGTATATGTACTACTTTCCTCGGACGCGGGCTTGAACTCTGTGACTTCCCGTTACTTGACACCCTTGAACTCTGTGACTTCCCGTTCCTTGACACCCTCGAGAGTTTTGCCCGAGAAGTTCTTGAGAACGTAGCGGTGGCTGCCAACTATACACAAGGAAATCAAAGCGAGAAACCATCAAACATCTGTCAAAGAGAATGATGTGGGAAGTTTGGGTGGGCGTTTAAAACCCGAGACCCGCTGGTTGGTGTTTTTCCGAACCAGCGAGTCTCGGGGTTTCCGTGTAAAACTATCATTATACCCCTAAAGTCAACGCGAGTCAATAAAATTTGCAAATTTTCGGGGTTTCGGGTATCGCGCGTACCAGAAAACAAAACCGGTTACCCCAAAAAACTCGGATATTCGATCTGTGTACGCCCTTAGTGGGGAGAAGAACGTCTTAAGAAACATACCGGGAAGAGGAGGGACGATTTCATTCTCGGTATAGTAGAACCCGAGCTTCCCATCTAATGCAGCCAAAGAAAACAAAGACGTTAGAGATGTAAAAAGACGACGTAGAAAGGACTAATGGATTGATGCCGACTGCCTGACTAACCATTTAGCGGCGGTGTTTGCTGCAAGTGCTTATTGAAAACATCCCAAGATTTCTCAGCACAGCGGTTTCGGATATCTGAAAAATGAAAGATAGTTATATACTAAGAACCGCTCCCGAAAGTGAAACCCGATCTTTAAAAAAACGAAGAAGAATGAGAAAGTTTTTGGTCATCACATTCACGGGTGAGAGAAGCGTTCTTGTAAACGAGCGTTACCATGTAACTTTCCGGGTCCACCGGGTTAGGGAAAACATGGCCTTCAAGAGAAGGTTGGTGTTCTTTGGTGATACCAAAGACCTGTAGAATTGGAAACCGGTTCTAAAAAAATGGCGAATCATTGAAGCAAAGAATATGATAAGCTCATTGCTTCGCTTTGTCGGAATGAAAGCTTGAAAATGAAAAAGAGCCTTTACCGTGTCGCTGGTTCCGAGACTAATTGCTAGATCACACAGAGTACTGAGCGTTAATCCTGCAAAACATCGGATATGACAAGGGAAGATGATAAATGCTAATCAACATGGAATATGATGGGCACGGGGTCGGATACCTACAAATTTCGGGGTATCTAGACCCGTAGCCGAAAACCTCGAGCATGATACTCGTACTCATACTGAAGGTTTTGGTACTTAGATTAGACTACGAGTATCCGGCAAAATTTTTGAGAGTCCGAATCCGAAAATGATTTGAAAAACATATTTAAAAAACACAAAATACAAGTTACACAACCAGACTTCATGTTTCCGACAAAATGGATATAGCTTGTTGCAAATGCAGCACATACTTGAGGCCCGGAATTCATAATCTGAAACTTGTGCTAGTTGATGACGGAATCCAACTGGAAGTAGAAAAACGGGTAAAGACCGAAAAAGATTATGGAAGTACCTGCTAAACTGTTAGGATTGTCCCCCGACCACTGCACGACCACACAGTTCTTGTCAAACTGAAACCTGTAATAACATCAGACGAGTTTCGGATCTTCTGAATCGAGAAGTAAAGATTCTACTCGATAAAATGATGTTCATATGTATATTTGAAACTTGTTCACTCTGCAATTTTGGCATCAAGAATTCATGTCTGAATCAAAGTTCTGATATCCATGATGTGGTATGCATCACTATTGAATTCATTACACTTAAACAATCTCAGGATACTAACCTCTCAACAAAATACCGAGAAATGGGACCGGCAATAGCATGAGCCGGGGCTAACTTTCCGAGCTTCTCCTCCAAACTGGGAGCCGTAGCCTGTAACAAAGAGTATCATCAAACAAACATTTCCTTGACGAGTCAAAAAAAAAAACTGGAATCATACACCAAAAGATAAACAAACCTCCAAAGCAGGTTTGGACCAACACCTTTGCTTTATATCCATCAAATTCATCCCAGCACCATCAGTTTCATCAATAGAACATAATCTCCAATCAACAGCGATGCCATGAACGAGCTGACAAGAGAAATCCGGTCTGTGTTCTTGTAAGTTTTGGGTTGCGTCATGAAAATCTTCTGTATCTGAGGACCCGTATACCGTTCATAAGCCCGAGAGCCGGTAATCTTTGACAATGCCATGGCCCCTCCTACAGCATTCTCTATCTCTTTGCACTGCAAAGTGGTACTACTGTCCATCCATATCGGCGATTCTTTAACCGAGAAGGCATTTCCCAATTGATCTTTCAATGGTCTCTCGGAGTCTAATGATCTCAATATCTCGGAACTGCCATTGTTCCAATACACGCTACCATGTTGCTGTCCACTACCTGAAACTGGAGTGACTCTTCCGAAATCGAAATTCGCTTTCGAAAGCCTCTCGAGAATGAGATCTAAGGCCTCAGACCCACATCAATGTGGTGACACGATTCTTCCATTCACGGATTTGTCCCGATAAACCCCGTCTTTGGTTTTGTAGTGAGAAAGGTCAGAATCAAAGTGAACAAGTTCTGTCTTGACAATGTTCAGATCGGAGTCCAATACAAGATCAAGAGAGACAAGTTCAGAGTTTAACGGGTAAGGACATTGTAATTTCATAATCTCTTCAAAACCCTGTTATGAATGTAAAAAAAAAACACGACCTTTGATGATCAAATCAGATGATGAATGCCAAATTAGAAGGAATTAACCCTCAAGATCACAACATTCAACCCTAACGAACAATGAAATTGCAGTTCTCGACTGAGAAACAGGGAAAACAGGGATCAACTCATCTGGGTATTCACCGAAAATTAGGATTTGATAAAAGATACGAGGATCGGAAACTAAAAGGAAAGGACATACTGAGTAGCGCTGTCGAGTCCGAGGACGAGAGAATCTGGAGGAAGAGACAAAACCGCCATTTTGGATGAATTCTTCTCAGGTCGGAGGGAAGAGACCACGAAAGGACCTGAATGGAGAAGAACAGATTCATCGTTCTTAAATAGGGAATGCAAGTTTCTGGGTTTACCAAATAATGGATAAGAACAGATTAATTCCGATCATTTTTTCCTTAAATCTCAAAACGGATTGAGATCAGATATGGTAACGATAATCTTGTTTGGGACCAATTCCGAGGTCAAAGGCTTCTCCTCAGAAGAAAAATCACACAAAAATAACAAATAGACAAAATTTCAAAAAAAAAAAGAATATTCGTATTTTAATATTTGATATTATAGAAATATTTAAGAAAAAACAGGCTCACACAAGATCTAATTAATAATTTCATTATATATTTGTAAACACAAAACCGTAGTCTCCAAGGTACAGACTCCGACTCTGCTTTCATAATTCCCCATATTATATGATTATTATTATATATATATTTCGACCACCTTTTACCCGACACAAATCTCTAAACCGAAATGCTATTTGGTATTCCTTTACCGGTCATGCCACCTTCCCTTGTATAATCCGAAGTGTTTGGATACAACAAAGTGTACGGCATCTTAACCGGACCAAACCGATTTTTCAAGTTCTTAGCATTGTTCCTCTTGATGATATTGTTCTCGATCTGCTCAAGCCTCACCGTGAATCTTTTCGACATAGCAAGAATCTCATCATCAGCCGTCCAATTCGGAGATTCTCTTTGCCCCAAGTAAAGTTCGTCCGTTGAATGCATAGAGAGAACCTCAATGATAGAGATTCCAAGCAATGTTTGAAACTGTGGGGTGATCGTCTTCAAGTATGCAACATCAGGATCTTTCTTCAATTCCTCGTACTCTTCCGTACCTAGTTCAGGCATGAATCGACGACTAACCGTAGGTCGATTAGGAAGAAAACCGGCATATGGATATTGTCCGAAGTTAACAGCTGCATGAAGAGCAGATGCAATCCAGATGATGATTGTGCAAGCTTGGATAAGTTCGGATCGAGACTGCATTTTCGGCCACCAAGGCTCATTTTTTTTGTCGCCATGGCCTACATTTCGAAGTTCTGACCACCATGCTTGTAGCTCAGTGTCAACCTGGATAGCTTTGTCGGTTTTGTAATAGTACGAACAATACTCTGTGACCCATGTCTCAATGGCTGACCAGATCTCAAGTCCATCAACAGCATACGGATAATCCCCGATCAAAAGACGAATACCACCATCGCTGCTTGGATCCGGAACCGCCACACCTCTGTAAACGTAATTTTATGAAACATGTTGATTACTTACTACTCAAAGTACATAGAAAAAAGAGTTTGAATGTGTACCTCTTAAGAAGATCAGCAGGACTT